TGTATTCCGTTTAGGTTGCATTGGTTGTGTGTAGCCTCTCATTCCCCGGCTTCGGGGCCCGTCTGTGTTATTTGCCTGTTTGGACTTTTTTTATGAGTATTTTTATGCCGGATACTATTAATTTTAATATTAACATTGCAATTATTTTTTACAATTATTTTAAAACTATTTTTAGCATGAGCTACCAACTCTTCATTTTATTACGATTAGTTTTTTTCTCAGAGATTATAAACTTTAGCATCAAAATAATTGCCCAGACATAAGCATCTCAGAGAACTAAAATAAGGGAGATGCTACGGTAAGCATTCCGTCGGGGTTTGTAATCATTAGATCAACTATTCTCAACGGTTATGATGATCTAACAGTTACAAACCCCGACAGAATGATTCCATAACGGGATCGTAACATTTCCCCTAAAATAAATACATCAACATCTAGCTGGTATTAATTCAGGAAGATTATATACACCTAAACAAATTTGTGCTTACCTACTACAAATATCACCTGGACATGAATTGTAGAAGCAGATAAAAAAGCCATGAAAAAATAGTTCCCTAACATGATATATATATATGACAGATACATCATCATACTCATACATTTGCATTAACTAGGACTGCATAGTACACACCCAAAAGAGCAAAAGCTTAACAAAATTACACTTGAGCCTTTCGAGAAAGTTCGATTTCGTACAATTCCCCGTCTGCACAATCCTTAATCCTCGTGTGAATCTAATACCTGCAAATCGAACAAGAACAAATTTCACTACAAGTTACATTTTTCGATTCCATCTAAAGTCGGACTTCAATTCTGCATATGGCCAATATTTTCCAATCACAACCCCTTCATCTCGACTCACACAGGCAAAAGCAAGATTAGCGCCTTTTTATTTATTCATACCCAGTAGTACAACTTTGAACGCATTAAAAAATGCAAAACTTACGTGAAGCGGGGGATTTTTTTTCTGATATTTAAGCGCTATATATTCCACTAAAAGTAAACGAGCCCCCCGAGTGTTTACTTCAAATTGTGCAGCAATTGCTGTGCAGATGGATGATATTCAGAGAAGAATTGAGGAAGTTCCATATCTGAAGGGTCTATTGCAGGGATTGCCATATATATATATACATCTTCAGTGGAGAAGGGGATGCTGCATGCGAAAAAGAATATATAAATTTTTTTAACAGGATGCCCGAGTCATATATAGTGAATGAAAATATAAAAAGGCAGTAAGACACAAAATACACGGCAAAATTTCAAAAATGGTCCATTATGTTGGCTATTTTCCGAAAATGGTCCATCATATAGGGTGTCATCAATAATGGTCCACTATATTGTCACTTTTAATCAAAACTCGTACAAATGTCAACATAGTGGACTAAAAGTGATTAAAAGTTTTAATCATTTTTAGTCCACTATGTTGACATTTGTACGGGTTTTGATTAAAAGTGACAATATAGTGGACCATTATTGATGACACCTTATATGATGGACCTTTTTCGGAAAATGGTCAACATAGTGGACTAAAAATGAAATTTAGCCCAAAATACACACACTCCAAGTTTCCTCATTTGATGACGATAAATTCTGGGAGTCCTTATTTACAATCTCCCCCATCTGAGACTGACACAACCTGCCAAAAAGCCATAAAGCAAGAATTTAATTGACTATCTTTGAACTAAAGGAAAGCTATGTCGACTCGGCATTAAAGATTATCTATATATCAGCAAACCACTTATTACCTCATTTGACACACTCTGAGTACCATACTTATCATCCCAGTACGTTGTGCTTATCCGGTAGATTTGCCTTACAGTCAATTTCTGCCAAATATATTAGATTGGAAAAATTAAGTCGAGCGTAAATCGGATAAATAAAGTGGTCCCACAAGTTTTGTTTGATACGAGATAATCACTTTTATTTTTATTTAATCCGTACATTATTTTCATTATCAAATTTTATGATTACAAACTTTTTTTTTCTGTAATTTTTAAGGTGGGTGGGACCGAGATCTAAGTCAAACATAGCCACTACATTGGCCGCCTACCGGGATCAGCTTACAGGGCTGAGAGAGGATGAAGTAATGTTTTTAATTCAATTGTTTATTTCTTTTTACCGTTCTTATTTTTCTGTGATTTATCTTTGTTTTTTTTTTTTAATTTTGTAATAACTTAATTACTAATCTACTTGTTATTTTTTGGCTTAATTGC